GGCCTCCATGCTTGGCTTTAGCTGCTTTTCTTGCCGAGGCGTAGGTCATTTGGGCTGTCATGAGGAATTTTTGTCGCTTCAGTTATGTGTGCACGCTTGCGCAGTGAGGAGGTTTGGGAGAACATAAAGGAAGCCATAGAAAACTCCGCTTCTGACTCAAGGCAGTCTGCTCTCATCGCCACCGCTTTGCTTCTGCTTACTTACTTCACCATTCTCTAGGCATCGTCATGAAGGCAGACCCCTTGAGATATTCCCCTGATGCTAAGGGTATCTTGGTGGAACGGCAGCGTCCTCAGTATAACGCTTGCTCACTAGTCTTAGTCAAGGACAGAAGCGAGCTGCAATGCAGGTAGACATAAAGCAAGATTTTCCCAAAAGTAGCTGACCTTCTTCCCCTGTCCTCAGGCCTCCTGGGCGTTGGGGTCAGGGCCTGGTTGTTGCGGGGAGGAGGCATCCAGAAACGGGTTGGCAGCGCACCTCGGTGGGGCTAGGCTCACGCGTGCACACGAGGAAGCTTCGTTGAAGCTTCCTTTACAGTCCTTTACTGGAGGCTTTGCCCCTGAATACGTTTATGGAGTATTTATATTTGATTGCACTGAACCTACTAAGGCCAAGTGGAGGCTCCTGTGCTAACTGCAGACATATCATGCTACTACACTCAGTCTCTGCAAGACAGAAGATAGGATAAGCATCGTTGAACCCCGAAGAACTGCACGCCCAGAAGAGACAGTGCATTGTATCAGAACAGTCTCTCTGAAGCGTAGGGATCGTGTATCTCAGCAATGGCTCCGAAGCATGTTGCTCATAACCCCTATTTTCTTTGCAAGCTGGAGTGAAGCTTGCAGGTCGAGTACACATAAAAGGCAATTGGACCGCCGTCAATCCTCACTGGAATTTGTTTCACTTGCGATAGGATAAAAAGCGCCCATTTTAGCTGAAGTGAAATGAATTCTGTTTTCATCGCTGACAGACCACATGCCTCGAACAAACAGATAGCCGTTTCTCGCGTTCGTCGCTCCCGAGGCTCTGGGCATGCGCCTAATCGAGCGCCGCGGTCGGCTAGGAGACCAAAGTCTTTGTGCTGCAGCTAAAAACCACCGTGGGCCGCAATTCCATGGTATATTTCACTCTTGTGGTTCTCCTGTTGAATCCACGCCTAACACCATGAGAAGCTTCAGTTCGGTTCTGCTGGCCGTCGCCGCGCTGGGGGCCGCCAGCGGCGAGAAGAGCGATGACCCAAGTCAGAAAGGTTCCGCAGGTAGGTCGAAACATCAGCGGAGATAAAATGCCTTGTTTTGGTCGAAAGGAAAAAATTTCAATGATCCTTAACGGCGCTGGGGTGGTTTTGGTTGTGGGCAGTGACCGCCGACTGCCTGACCGAGTTCAACACCGCCAGAGAACGAGCAGATCTTGATCCATTCACTGCAGAGCCTGACGAAAACAAGAAAGTGCCGATAGACAATGCAGAGTACATCACAGCGGTTTGTAAAGCCATGCTGCAGGCAAGTGACCTATTTTCTTCTTGTATTTGCCGTGCACTGTCCCTTTGCCTTCTCCACGCGCGCATTCGTCTTTGCCAGTGGTGATCGGTTGAATGTTAGCACATTTAGTTGCCGCTTGACGTGTTCAGGGGACAGATATGGGTAGTGAAAAGACAATCATAGAGCGCAGCGGCACCTACGCCTACGCGCCTCAGACGGGTTCTACCGCTGACTGCCCTGCAGCAGTCTCCTATTGGAAAAAAGCCTACGTAAACCTTGGGGACCTTCCACCCGAGTACGAAGGCAACACAGGGGTGTATGAGGATAGCCGAAACCGCTCGCTTGTGGCCCTATACAACCCCAACAAGGGCGCCACAGTCGACTGCGCCTATATCACATGTCCTGTCTCCCCCACGTCCACCACAACCGTTGCTACCTCTGCAGGATCAACTTCTGAGGAAGGGGAAGAAGATGAAGACCTTACCGAAGACGGCGCTAAGCGCTTAAGTGAAGAACGAGAAGCTGCGGGTTCAGCGAGCTCGGGAGACCAGCCGAAGACCGGGCCGACAGTTCGGCGCCTCTCCACACCCTCGGAGACGGTTACCGGCCTCGTTTGCCTCACTAATCCTGCAGCTCTTGAAAACGGGAAAAAGCCATTCTCGTACGTTGTTGAGGATATATCTTGCTTCTCTCTTGGCTGCACCTCCAAGTCCCGTGCTGTTTGCCCTCCATAAAGCGCGCCTTTTTTGTCAAGGGCTCTCCTTTCCTTTGCCGTTTGTACCTACCTCGGTCGCTTCGGCGTGTATTGTGGATGCTTCTTTAGGGGCGTCTCACATATTACTTGAATGCTGTGGATCCAGAAGCGCTGGGATGCTGCGTTTCGGCTGTTGCTTCCTATCTCTACACCTTCCGCCAGTGCCTCTGTCTCTTTAAAGTTCTATTTAGTTGAGCGTTGCCCTCTTCCGGCTCAGTCAATATTTGTTGTGTGTCATATTAAGCTGTATCTAAGTTATTTTACCCATGCACAAACGTTTTCTTTGAGTATCCGTTCTGTGGATTTCTTTGTCTTGGTTGCTTGTGTGGCTAATCTTTCCTGTTGGCAACATAGGGTTCCCATATTTGGCTTTGTTGCTGAGGTGTATGGTCTTGGCTGGCTTAAGGCTTATCTGCCGTGTTTGCAATTTTTTGGCTTCTGCACAGGGAGGAGGTTTGGGAAGACATACAGGAAGCCATAGAAAACTCCGCCTCTGCCTCTACGCAGTCTGCTCTCCTCGCTACCGGTTTGATTCTGTTCACTTCTTCCATCATTCTCTAGGNTCTGCCTCTACGCAGTCTGCTCTCCTCGCTACCGGTTTGATTCTGTTCACTTCTTCCATCATTCTCTAGGCATCGTCAAGATGAGCAAACCCCTTGAGGTCTTTGTAAACCTCAGCTGGTAGGGGTATGCCGGTGAAACTCAAGTTTCCTCAGTGATTGCAAAACAAGCAGAAAGAATGTTTCTTTTGGCCCCTAACTGGGGCTTTGCACAGAGAGACAAAAGGAAACAGTGTGTCTCTCGGCGATCGGAATTCTGGCTTGCAGCCGCCGCATCGCTTTTTCGGCCGTGCCGGTCCTGTCTTCAAACCGCTGAACCGTTTCAAGCGCAGGTCTTCAGTTGTATAACTTTGCCCTTTAGCTGGGTACGACAGGGGTCAAAGGTAGGATAAAGAATCAAACAGGAGCACAGGGAGGATCACTTGAGGGATATCTCAAGAGCATCTATTGCCCCGCTAGAGCTTGTCAGCTTTTCTGTGAATAATTTATTGAGGAAATTATATATTTAGAAACCTCTTATAGACCTAGGTGGCCATACTGCAAGGCATACAGAGCCACTTGGGACTTCCTGCAAAACCACAACTCTACGCGCACCACTTGAGCATAGGCCCACGCTCCGGCGGCACATGTCTCAGCGTGATGCACCACCTTAGGCGTGGACGTCGCAGATTCGATTTCCATGAAGCGCAGCGAGGATTCTACTGTAAACCAAAGTGACTGGGCCGTGCTGGAGGTTTTGTTGTTTGCTCCTTGCAAATCACGCCAGTCGACTGAGCACACGATGCAACGGGAAATTGCTATTTTGCCGCACATTTTATCT